AACTTCTACCTCCATATGTTCTAGTTGAGAATTTTATTATATCCAACTGCAGTAAATGGGGTGTGGGGATTGAAAGGTGTATGTCCAAGGTATTTAAGCTCTAATTTACTCCAAAGGAGACAAAATTTCTCAGTAGACAACCCAAACATTTTTATGTTGATGCAACAATAAATGCAAAGCTGTCTTAATCCACAATTTTTTTTTACCTGGCATTACTAGATGGACCACAAGTTACTGTTTATAAAACAAATTATATATTTAAAACATACAGTCTACTTATCCCACTCAGCCTATTTTTAGTTTTTCCTACTGTTTTCAGCAGATACTGAACATTTCATAATGCAGACTACCAAAATGTTGCCTATGGCTCAGGGCACAATTCTGTTGCCCTCACAATGAGCAGTTATCACTGTCTTTTGGAAGTAATTGTCCAACTACAGTTGGCCCTCCACATTTGCAGCTTTGACTTTTGCAGATTTGATGATTTGTTGTTTTGATTAATATGTTCTCTCTGGGAATCTCTAGGTCCTCCAACACAACTCTGCCAAAAGTTGACCATAGAGTTGTTTTGGAGAACCTAGAAGTTCCTAGAGAAAACTCTTCTCTAGGCATTTGTAGGTCCTCCAGCATGATTCTGTGAACAATTTCTGGCAGATGTTGACCATAGAGTTGCATGGGAGAACCTGGAGATGCCTAAAGAGGTGTTCTCTCAGATTAAAAGTTTTGGGGTGGTTGTTGTTGTTGTTTAGCATTTTTAACCACATTCACAGGAGTCCTTCACCCCTATCCCTAGCGAATGTGGAGGGAACACTGTATTTACAAAGTTTCCTGGCCAGGACAAAGAAGTTCTAGGCATAGTTTCATATACCCCAGATGAATCTGTTTTGTGGTACTCATTCATTGTAAATCATGCTTTATTATTTACCTTTGGTATATACAAGAAAGAAGTATAAAATACTGAACTTTTCAATATTTAATTAGTTTCAAGAGTGTCAGTTCTTCAGATTTCAGCTCCTTCCTTTGTATCTCTAGATGTTAAATCTATCAATGGGGAAGTTCATGCTTCATGCTAGAGTAAATACATGTGAAACACAAGTTTGCAGATGGATTTTGTAGCACCTTTGAGGCTAACTGAAAGAAAGAAGTTTGTAGCATGAGCTTTTGTAGAATTCAGCCTACTGTAGACTCAAGGCATCAGGCAGTGCATAGCCTGCCATTTCACATATTGTAGGAAGTATGGTTCATTTTGAACTATTCCCTGCAACAGTGCATGGTAGGACAAATATGTTTTTCCTAATATTAATACCATTTTTTTTCTTGTCTTGCTCCCTTTTGCACAAAAGAAATTAAAAAACATTTTATTATTATCCAGGTCTCTCTGTTATTGGGTTAAAACAGAGTGCAATAACATCTTAATTAAACCAATTTTTAAATAACCAACAGTCATGACCAATTGATTAAACTGCACGTGGCCCTACTTTTTCCAGTTTTTTAAAAAATAAACATCACCTATAGAGATTACCATCTTGGGTGAAAGACCAATGTAGAGGAGAGGCTTCTTAACTCAGTTCCTTGCATTGCCCTCCAGCCTTACATGGCAAGAGGCAATGTAGGCCAGGGGTAGGCAACCTTTCCCCTTTAAGGGCCGAGGGACTTCAGCTCCCAGAATCCCAGGAGTTACTGGCCAACATGGGACTATTGGCCAACATGGCTGAGGCTTCTGGGAGCTGAAGTCCCTCGACCCTTAAAGGGGAAAGGTTGCCTACCCCTGGTGTAGGCCATCTGTATTTTGAGAGCCAGCATGGCGTAGTGTTTTGAGTGTTGGACTACAACTCTGGAGACCAGGGTTCGATTCCACACTTGAACATGAAACCCATTGGGTGATCTTGGGCAAGTTACATTCTCTCAGCCTCTGGGGAAGGCCATGGCAAACCTTCTCTAAACAACTCCTGCCAAGAAAACTCCATGATAAATTCACCTTAGGATCGCCATAAGTGGAAAATAACTTGAAGGCACACAAAACAACAACAAAACCTGTATTTTTTCTTACTTGTAGGACAATACTTGGAGAGATTATTCTGAGGAAACAGTTGGCAAGGAAACATTCAGCAGTCTCTCTATCCTACCAGCAGTCCTCTACTTGGGATTCCAGTTTCCTGTGGTGTTTTCCCCATAAAAACAAAATAATATCAGGAGAAAAAAGAATAATCATAACTACTGTGGCTTGGTTCTAATACATCATGTTCATAAGCCAATGTAAAACAGTGTATTACAGAGTAAACAAGTGAACAGCATAGATCACATCAAGAATAGCCTTTTGCAATGAGAAGTAATATGGAACATGGTATGAAAATAGGATTTTACAATAGGGATTTTTGTCCCTATTTTCATATGTTTAATGTTTAATGGTATGTAGTTCTAGTGTTGCAGTCTCTGGTTCCCAGAAGGGACCTGAAGTTAGTGGAAGTGTTACTATCTCTCATAGGGACTGGAGGACATACATTAAACTTCTATATTATCCATTATATCTTCAGCTTCTATGGCTATGCCATGAAGTTGTTATAGCACTCAAATTAAAATTATTAACTTGCTATGTGGAAACTATCCAAATCATTATTTTGCAAATAACTTACATCTTATAGTTATTATGTGCGTAGAATAAAGGTAAAAGAATATTGAATTTTAATTTCACAAATCAACAATATGATATATGCATTACTGAAATCCAAATGAAATGTAGCAAAAGAGGAAATGCCTAATTAATTACTCAGTGGGTTAAATACTGATGAGTGCAATTCTTCAAATATTCAATGCAAATTACTGAAATGGGTGCTCCCAAAATACATTCCACCACAGTGCAATATTGGAACAGAGCATAACCAATAAATAAAACAAGAATGCACAATGTGAAACACTGATATACTAAATGCAGTATTTTCTGCAGCTCTGAGGCACTAATTCACTACTACTACTACTATTACTTATTATTATTATTATTATTTAATTATTTGTATGCTGCCTCTCTCTCAGAGCAGCTCCCAGACAAAGTAATTTAAAAAAACTTTACAATAAGATTTCTACATTAAAATTATAATATAAAAGATTTTAAAAGACATACACAATTTTTTAAAAAATAAACAAAACAACCCAGTTAAAAGCTCCTCTGCTTACACATTAAAGCCCTACTTAAACAAAAAGCTCTTTGCTTGCTGGCAAACATAAATCATGGAAAGGGCCTGCAGAAGGGAATATCTGGATCAGTATGATGTGAAAGGCTGTAATATTTGCAGGCTAATCCTACACATGTTTTCCTGAGGTAGGTCCCAGTGTCTGCAACAGGGCTTATTCCCTGGTAAGCATGTGTAAGATTTCAGCCTTAATTAATTAGAAGAATTGAGAAAGCTGGGATATAAATGTTTAAATAAATACAAATTAAAGAAAAACTCACTCATAACTCTCATGCTATGTGTAAAGTCATCTTTACTTTTCATTTTTGAATCCAAGATTCTTGCATGGTGTAGCTTGCCTTCAAGTCATTTCTGGCTTATGACAACCATAAGGTGACCCTATCACAGGGTTTTCTTGGCAAGTTTCTTCATGGGGGGTTTGCCACTGTCTGAAGCTGAGAGAGTGTGATTTGCTCAAAGTTACCCAGTGGGTTTTCCTGGCTGAGCTTGGATTCAAACCCTGCTGTCCAGAGTCATAGTCAATGCTCAAACCACTGCAACCCTCTGGGTCAGTTTTAAGGTTATATGAAGACTTTCTCTTGGGGACAAAAGTTCTGTTCCTACTGCTCCTACTGGCATGAGGAGATTTCCCCCTATATTTTCATAGTCTCCTTTCTAGAATAGCATGTGGCATTGGAACTGCAAGGAACAGGGTAAATAAGTAATAATGAGATGAGGGAGAGGAGGAAGAGGTAGTTTTCAGTGAGAACATGCAAAGATCTAAGATGCTTCTGTAAATAGAGTGAGGCTTTCAGTTTCTGGAAGAGTAAGTCCAAAGCATTATTATGTTCATGGGGTTTTAAGAATGTAATTGCTTTCATAATTGCTGTGAGGGAAGAACTGGCTCAAAAATGGACAATATCACATCAAGAACTGGATGATTGGTTTTAATCTGAAACTACTCTCCTAACAGATAAAGAAGGCAGAGAAAGCAGTTTTAAAATTCTGAATTTTTATGTGTAGTGGAGCCTTTTCCTGAATGTGTGGAATGTCCATTTAGTAAAAGTCTAAAGGAAATTCTGTTCTTATAGTATAATTATCTGAGGCTGAAGATTATTATATAGAGCATTTTAACTATAATAGATGTATCTATTTTATACTTTTTTCAGTATATTTTCAATATATTTATATTCATGTTTTTTATTTTTCATTTATAAAAAATACCTATAGTACACATTGCATCTTTTAATAAACAAGCCGAACAATAAGACATCATTTTAATAAAAACATGTACAGTTGTTCCTCCCGATTCATGGGGAATCCGTTCTGTACACACACACCCGCAAATCAGAAAAACCACAAATATTCAAAGCCCATTGGTTAAAATGGGCATGTGTCACGTGCGGCACTGTGCGTGCACCTCAGGCGCACATGCCATTTTGTCCCTCCTCGCTTGCAGTCCGCAAAGGAGTGAGACCATGGACTCCAAGTCCGCAAATGGGGAGGGACAAGTGTATTGCAAAAATTGTCATTGTTAAGCATGAGGTATTTCTCATCTGTCTCTTACAGGAGGAAATGCTTCTTTAGAGATGGTGCCTGGTGTAACATACACATGCATAATCTGGAAATAAAGACCTAACTCAGTTAGAATAAACCCACTGAATCAACAGAAACTCAGTAAGTCAACACTTAAAGTAAGTTCCATTGATTCAATAAGTTTACTCTAGTGAGGACTGACAAATGGATTTAGGCTTCAGAATGATTGCTTTTGCATAAGCATATTCAATCAATCTTCTGCTCATTTATAGGAGAGTAAAAGACACTGAGTTGAGAGCCAGTGTGTCATAGTGGTTTGAGTGTTGGACTACAACTCTGGAAACCAGGGTTCGAAACCCACTGGGATTCCTTGGGCAAGTCACACTTTCTCAGCCTCAGAGGAAGGCAATGACAAACCTTCTCTGAATAAATCTTGCCAAGAAAAGCCCATGATAGGTTCACCTTAGGGTCTCTATAAGTCGGAAACGATTTGAAGGTACACAACAACAAAAGACACTGAACATAGTGGGGCTTAAACTGTGGGCAAACATGTATAGAACTGCACTGCATAATTGTTATTTTTCATCAAGTGATAGTTCTAGTTAAGGGTGCATGTAATCAGCCATTTAAATCTCACTAATTAAAATTACCATCCCAGTCATATAGGGATAGGGTTAGCCACAGTTTTTTGTCCATCTGGCTTTATTTAAATCTAATAGAATTATCATATGCATACCTACTCAGACATCAGCCCCACTGAGCTACAAAAGACTTACTTTCAAGTAAGTGCATATAGTATTGCAGCATAAGTACTGTATTTGCCCATCTTATCACTAATATTAAACTGTCATCCCTGACTCTTCCTTGTGAGAGACCTAATGACTGGAGTAAGTATACATGTGATCCTGCAGCTTCATATGCCCTCCACTATTTCCTGCACTAAAATATTTTCCAGCTTGGGGAAGAGGTGTTTTCTCTTACAATAAATGTACACTTATCACTAACTATTTGAATTAGACTTGCCCGTCCATTTTTGCAGACTTGAAGTCTGTGATCTTGATTATTCATGGAGGGGAAAGCTCTGTTAAATTAAATGGCATGCACAGGAGCACCTGGCTATTCAAGCCAATGAGGCTTGATTATTAGCAAGTTTCCACTTTTGTGGGGAGGGGGGTCCAGAACAGATTCCCCCGTGAAAACAGAGGGGCTACTATAGCTCCCAAACTTCAGTTTCAAAAAAGTACTTTGCTGCAGGGAAACTGGCTTTCTCTGCCCTCAGACTTACAGTGGGGGATGGGAGTCAGGAATGGGAAACTAGATTACTTTGATATTATCACTTAATACATTGATTGTGACTTATGTAAGTAGTGGTTGCTCTGTTAGCCCAGGAAGCTACTGAATATTGTCTGTGTTGTCCAAGATATTTAAATGACTGAGGCAGAAAATGTTATTAATTCATATCATGGTGTCCAATCTACTAGGAAATTCTCGCTAACCAGCTTCATTGAAATAAACAGAAACTGCAAGAGCATGACTACTCCACTGGCTATACCTCTTTCCTCATGTTTTGTACCAAATCAGTGGTGTGAGGTAGTGAGCTGGCATATTGAAGATGAAAACATATGGATTTACTAGGTCTTGCCAGTGCCTTCTCTAGTCCTGATATGGAATAGGACCTCAGAAGCATTCTGGCAAGAGTTCACAAAAGAACCAAAAAAATGTATAAAATCAGAACACTGGACAGCTCCCTGTGGAACAGGTATCGGTAGCTGGATGCAAGGCAGTCACAGTGCCAGCAAGTTACCAATATTGTTGCAGTATGGATGGGAGACCACCAAGAAGTACCAGGAGCTGTGTGCTACCGTATGCATTCATGTATAAGTTGACCTCATCTATAAGTCAAGGACAAGTTTTTGGTCCAAAATTATGGATTTTGATATGACCTGTGGACAAGTCAAAGGTAAAATGTAGGGGCATGTAACAAAGGATGTAGACCTATAGAATCATAGAGTTGGAAGAGACCTCAAGGGCCATCCAACTTAACCCCCTGCCATGCAGGAAGACACAATCAAAACATCCCTGACAGATGGCCATCCAACCTCTGATTAAAGACCTCCAAAGAAGGAGACTCCTGCAGACTCCATGGGAGTATGTTCCACTGTTGAACAGCTCTTACTGTCAGGAAGTTCTTCCTAAAGTTGAAGGGGAATCTCTTTTTTTCTAGTTTGAATCCATTGCTCTGGAGCAGCAGGATATAAGCTTGCTCCATCCTCAATATTACATCCCTTCCAATATTTAAACAGAGCTATCATGTCACCCCTTAACCTTCCCTTCTCCAAGCTAAGCATATTTACCACCCTAAGTCACTCCGCATAGGGTATGGTTTCCAGATCTTTCATTTTTCTGGTCACTCTCCCTGGTGGTGCAGTGGTTAAATGCCTGTGCTGCAGCCACTCACTCATAAACCACAAGGTTGCGAGTTCAATACTAGCCAGGGATCAGGCTTGAATCAGGCCTTCATCCTTCCAAGGTCGCTAAAATGAGTACCCAGCTGTTGGGGGGCAATGAGCTTACAGTTGTAAACTGCTTAGACACCCCATAGTGCGGTAAGAAGTGGTATATAAATGAAGCTGCTTTGCTTTTGCTTTGCTAAGAGGAGTGACTTAGGGTGTAAAGGATGAAGTAAAGAAAAATGATGCCAAAGAACTTGCAACATTCAGGCAGACATAACTGTTGCATTCACCCTAAAGGCTTGATGGATGAGAAAGGAACTCATGGTAAATGGTGACTGTACAATGTGAAGGGAAAGTACCCAAACACAGGCAGGGCTATGAAAACATGTCAAAAAGGATGTAAAGGCAAAACAAAGAATATGGTGACTAGGGGGTGAAACAAAATGCTCTGAAGGAGTGGCTCTGTGCTGCCCCTTTGCTCGCTGGATCAGGGCTGCAACAATCACATGCTGCGGCCTCAATCTGGCATTTTTCCAGCACAAAAAGAAGCAGCAAATTGCCACTCCTTTTTGTGCCAGAAAAAAGGCACCCCTTTTGCCACCGCTGCGGCTCTTCTGTGCTCCTGTGACATGCAGTGTGTGATTGCTGTGCCGTAGAAGCGTCCCAATGCTACCTGCCATCTGGTTGGGCGGGCAGCATGGCACTGGTTCAGGGACAGAGTCAGGGCATGTAGTCACCATGCCCCCAATCTGCCAGGACGCCAGCTCAAATTGCTGATCTGTTCAGTCCCTATGTTAGTAGTGATTATAGCCTTTAATGTGACAACTTTGCCTGCTTTTTACCCAGAAAAGCTGAAAATTATACACAAGTGTCTTATTAAAATCCTCCAAACCTTGATTCCTTTCAGCACTTCATTGAGGAGGAGCACCAAAGTATCACTGCCACTACCATTTTCCCACCCAGGGCTACAAAAGGGCCAGAAGTGGCACCATGGCAGACAAAGTAGAGGAGGTCGGTGTTTCTTTTATGTTCTCCAGGGATGGATTAAGCTCTTACCTTTTACCACTCTTCTGAGAGAAGGGGATGATTCTTTTTTTAAAAAATAAGAATTAAGGTACAGTGCTTACATTGATCCATTGATAAGTCAACCCAGAGTTTTTTAGTTCAAATTTTTTACTAACATTTCTAGACTTATACACAAGCAAACACAGTATATTTTAGAGGAAGGAACTGGCAAAACCACATCTGAGTATCCTTTGCCTAAGAAAACCCTGGAGTCGCCATATGTCATCAGGTGCCTTGAAGGCAGATAAACACACACATGTGCCTTCAAGTCACAAGCACACACACAGTTGCCTCATCTGATGGCCAAGGAGTCATCTTTAGCTCCAGTGCTCTAAGTGAAGCTGTTGCCGCTTCAAGGTACAATTCTCTTTTTCTTAAGCATTGATTCCAGCATATGTGAGGAAGCTCTTACTATCCTTGGCTGTCACTTGGTAACAGCAGGAGTTTTATGAGGGAAAGAAGTCAAAGGATGGTGAGATAGCTATTTGCTTGAGCAAAGCACATACTGGCTCCTTGGGCTACTCTTCTTCAGAAGGCTCCAGCAAGTCATGTATTTCTATGGTATTATATAGGAGTAACTCTTGCCTCTGTCTTTGTTTATTTCATAGAGGTTTGAAACTAAGCCCATGACAACATCATAATTATTTTCATACTCAGCACAAACTGTATACAACAAATCCCCAGATCTTTGTGAAGCCGAAGGCTTTCACGGCCAGCATCCATGGATTTTGTGGGGTTTTGGGGCTGTGAGGCCATGTTCTAGAATAACTTCTTCCTGACATTTTGCAAGCATCTGTAGCTGGCATCTTCAGAGATTGGTGAAATGGAGCTGTATGAGGTATATATACTGTGTGACTCTTGGTTGAGAGGATATGATTTGCATGTTAATCTGTGTATTGTTCTGTTGTTGAATGGCAAGGCCTCAGGGGGGGAGGATATGCAGCAGAATATGTGTGTCTATTTAATTAGCAATCCATTGTCTGCTGGGACCCCCCCCCCCCCCCCCCGGACCCTGGGTGAAGTTCATTTGCATGTGCTGAATCTTGATTTTGGTGTTTTTCAGGACTGGTAGCCAAACTTTGTTTACTTTCAGGGTTTCTTCTTTCCTGTTGAAATTGTCCTGGTGTTTGTGAATTCCAATGGCTTCCCTGTGCATTCTGACCCAATAGTTGTTGGCATGGTCCAGAATTTCAGTGTTTTCAAATAGCATTTTGTGCCCAGGTTGGTTTATAATGTTTTCTGCAACTGCTGATTTTTCTGGCTGGCCCAATCTACAGTGTCTCTCATGTTCCTTAATTCACATTTGAACACTGTGTTTTGTGGTCCCTATGTAGACTTGTCCAGGGGTTTGAAATGTAATGCACCTAATGTTTTTTTTTAGTGGGGTTCTAACCCACACACACACACACACATTTACCTCAGCAGTCCTTCCACGATGGTTAGCCAAGGTGCTACCTTTCATAATGCAACCCACCTTCAAAATGCTGGAAAATATTATGTCATCACCATTCCTTTCAAATGGTCCTTAATATGCCCATCCAGTTTTATCAAGGTCATGTTTCTAGAGTCACTTCACAATTTGTTCTTCACAGCATAACTAGTTTGCTTAACTGTTATCACCATATTGGTGAAGAAGTTGCCACATATTTTCATTAGTAACACCAATGCTTGGCACAAATTCCCTCAATCTCTTCCCAAAGAACTCCTTGCCTCTATCAGAGACATTTTATTTTCTGTTTGTTTATTTTATTTTCATTTTATTGTCAGGGGTTTTCCATGCAGACAATGGATTGCTAGTTAAATAGACACACATAGTCTGCTGCATATCCTTCCACCCCAAGGCCTTGC